AGATATTATAAATATATATAATAATATATATTTATTATATTAGATATTATAAATATATATAATAATATATATTTATTATATTAGATATTATAAATCTAATTTCCTATTTTAAATAAAGTTTATAACTAGAATTATATAAATTATTATAGATATAGTATTTAGAACTTAGAAAATAAAATAAAAGATTTTTTATAAAAATAATTTAAAGCTAAAAAAAAGAAAACTAGAATATAAAAAACTATAAAAAAATATATATATATATTTTATAATATACTAGTCCTAAAAGAATTTAGTTTTCTAAATATTTCTAGTATATTTCAAATATATTTCTTTAATAAAATAGCTATATTATATATATTTAGAAAGTATTTATTATAAATCTATAAAAAAAACTTATAAATAAAATATTTATAAAAGAAATTATTTATTAAGAATTCTAAAATAAGAAAAAAAAAGAGGTTTCTTAAAAAAAAGAACTAAACTTAAATATAAAATATATATATATAGTTTAGTAAACTATACTAGTTCTAATTAGATATAAAGTATATAATAAGAACTATTATAATATCTAATATTTAATTAGGTATTTTAGATATTAGATATTTAGAAATTATAATATTATTTTCTTTTTTTAAAATAAACTTACTTTTAAGCTTTATAAAAGTTATTAATTTATCTAATTTTATATTATTTTCTTTTCTAAAATAAACTAATATCTCGAATATAAATATTATATATAAAGAACAAGTATTTTTAATATATAACTTAGAAGAATTTATTATTATTTCTATATAATTCTAAATAAATATTATTATTTATATAATTTAGCTAGTATTATAAGTTTTATAAAAGTTCTAGTATATTAATATTATTATTATAAAAGCTTTATAAAACCAGGAAATTATTATTTAATACTAAAGCTAGATATTATATTAGATTTTTATTCTAATTAGCTTACTAAATTCTATATTTTAATTTATTTCTTATTAGTTTAATTATAATAACTTATTTAATATTATATTCTTATTTATTATTCTCTAATACTAATAGAAATAATTCCGGATTTATTTAATTTAATAATAAATTCTAAGAATTTTTTTATAGCTTTTTTATATAAAAAACTAAATATATATTTATAATTTCTAATAGGTTTAGAAGAAATAAATAATTATATTATTCTAGAATCTCAAATAAG